CATGCATGCCTGCCTCTACCATTCCACCCCCAGAGGAGAGTACAGTCAATCACAGCTGCACATATACACCAACGGTGTCTTTCACAGGTCAGTGTGTGTTTCTGAAATGGAAATGACTGTTCTTTCCCCCCTTCAAAAGTTTTATTCTGTTATAAATGTGTCTGTTTGCATGAGTATGGAATCAAAGTCTGTTTTGGGGGAAAATTTAATTAATCTTTATGGAGTTCACAACATATGCAGGCTGCGGCTGACATCATTCACAGATAATAGTAATAGGTGCAATGTTATATTTGCAATGTTACATTACCACTCACAGAGCACTCATTACAAGCTTCATACTGGGGTGCAAAAGAGCAATGTCACATAGAGCACACTGCAGCAACACACATTGCACACAAGTGAGCTGTAGCTCACGAAAGCTCATGCTCAAATAAATTGGTTAGTCTCTAAGGTGCCACAAGTACTCCTTTTCTTTTTGCGAATACAGACTAACACGGCTGTTACACATTACTGTGGCTCACTATTGAAATGGTCTTTCAAAGCCTCCTTGAGCTGTACAGCTTCATGTTGAGCAATTTTTGTAGCCTTGGTATCCAGCTGCTCTAAATTAGCAGACAATCATTCCACCTTCTCCTTTTGCTGTGCAGATATGCAGGACACAGCCGGCAGCTATCACCATTGGGACTTTTTTCACTGAGATCCAGTCTTGTGAGTAGACAGCACCAGTGACCTTTCAAATGGCCATTCTGCATATGCTGAGCCTGTTGCTGAAGTGCTTCTTGGTGCTGTCCAGGTGGCTGGTGTACGGCTTCATGAGCCATGGGAGTAAAGTGTAGGCTGGGTCTCCCAGATCCCTAAGGCATTTCAACATCCCCAGTAGTAGTCCACAGGTCTGCTAGAAAGAAAATCCCTGCTTACAGCTTTCTGAACAGCCTTGTGTTCTTAAAGATGCATGCATCATGCACCTTCCCTGACCAGCCCATACTGATGTTGGTAAAGCATCCCTGGTGAGCCACCAGTGCTTGCAATACCATAGAAAAGTAGCCCTTTCTGTTGATGTACTCTGTGGCAAGGTGGTCTGGTGCTAAAATAGGGATGTGTGTGCCATCTGTCACTCCACTGCAGGTCGGGAACCCCATTGCTGCAAAACTATCCACTATGTCCTGCACACCGCCCAGAGTCACAGTCCTTTGTAGCAGGAGGCAATTAACAACCCTGCACACTTGCATCACAACAACCCCCATGGTGGATTTCCCAACTCCAAATTGATTCCCAAAACATGAGTAGCAATTGGGTGTTGCAAGTTTCCACAGAGCTATCACCACTCACTTCTCCAATCAGTGCCAATCCGATGAAGTGAGCTGCAGCTCACGAAAGCTTATGGTCAAATGCATTTGTTAGTCCCTAGGGTGCCACAAGTCCTCCTAATCTTATTCTAGTGTCCCTGCACTGGAGGGCTGGGGTGAGCTGATCACACAGATCCAGGAATGTGACCTTGCACATCGGAAAGTTCTGCAATCGCTGCTCTTCATCCTAAACCTGCATTACGATGTGTTCCCACTACTCAGTGCTTGGTTCTCGGGCCCAGAACCAGCACTCCATCATCTCCAGCCGCTCTGTGAACACCACCAATGACTCAATTGTTTCTTTCTACATCCCACAGCAACCCAGGCCTTATGGAATCATCATGTTCCCCATGGCTCCTCTGGCAGCTTGGCAGATACTGCAGGATCCATGCTTGCAGTGCGCATCACAGCAGTGCAGAGCTGTGAAGGATCCATGTTTCTGTCAGACGATGGCAGACAATGAGGAGGGATATGCAGGGATTTTTGAAGAGATGCAAAACATTCATGCAGATGAAATTATTGGATGGACAACACTGAATTATGGAATGTTGAAGTCATGTTACAACTCACCCCAGCGTGACTCATTTGACCCCAAGAGGCATTGCAAAACCTTGTCAAAACACCATGCGCAAGATGGTTGTGAGTTGCACAGTGGGATAGCTATCCATGGCGCACTGCTTTCTGCATCAGTGCAAGTGAGGACGTGCACCACGAACACAAGGCATGTAAAGTGGACACGCAAAAGCAATTTAATTACTGCTGCAGCCAGGGGTGAAAGTAATATTAAACACTGATCGGTACAGGGGCCCAGCTCTGGGCCCCCAGAAGGGGTGGGGCCTTGGGCAGAAAGGGCAGGGCTGGGGGTCAGCCTCTCCCAGCCAACTCATCCGCATTGCCTGGCCCGCACCACCCGGGGCTCCAGCAGCGATTTAAAAGGGCCCAGGGCTCCTGATGCTGTGGTAGCAGTGGCAGCAGCCTAGGCCCTTTTAAATCTCCACAGCGCTTTAACATCGGCTGTGTTACGAGCCGGTACCGACTTCTTACCAGTACACCGTACCAGCCTACTTTCACTCTTGGCTGCAGTTATATGCCAGTGTAACTTAGATCGACAATTTTCTAGTGTAGACATGGCCTAAGACTGACAAGTATTTAGGAGACAAGGTGGGTGAGGTAATATCTTTTACTGGACCTGAGAGAGACAAACTTTTGAGCTCCACAGTGCTCTTCTTCAGGTCTGAGACACTGTACTCATTGTGTCAGTCACAGCAACAGTTAAATACAAGATCAAACAGAGCGTTTAGCATAAGTAGTAAGCACATATTCTAAGGGACCACTCAAAGAGAAGTGGCCGGTTGACCACATTGATCACAGTGGCCACATTATTGCCCCATACTCTTCTGCCACCATTCCCTAATGGGGCGTTAATGAGCCACTTCACCTTGAATGGTCCTATAGCGAAGCAAAGCCTCACTGGTGCAGCGCCTCCTGCTGATCATCTTGGGAATTAGCTCTTTTCCAGCATATGGAGCGCCCTCTGCAGGCCAGTGTCTCACCTGCCGCTGGCCCCGTGTCCCTCCCAGACTCCAGTGCCCTCTACCTCAGGGTTCTGCCCCAGCAGGACCCCCACACTCTGGGTCTCCTCTCCCAGGGGAACCCACAACCCTCTAAACCCACCTTGCCTCAGTGGCTACTGCCAGTCATCAGCTAGCTCCTGCTCACTGGGGCAGACTGCAGCCTGTAATGGCCACTCATCATTGGCAAGGGGTTAGGAACTGCTGCCTTTGCCTATTCCCAGGCTGTATCTCTGCAGCCCCAGTACCCCTGTAGGTCTTCATCAAGGCCTGCAGCCTGGGGTTTTACCAGGCTGGAGCTCCCCAGTTCCCTTGCCCTATTCCCCAGTACTGCTCCAGTTCGGGTACCTTCCTCTCAGGCAGCTAGCCCTTCTCCCTCCAGGATTGGGGAGAGACTCCTCAGGTCCTGGCTCACAGCCCTTTATAGGGCCAGCTGTCACCTGATTGGGCTGTCCACACCCGTGACCAGCTACTCACTCAGCTGCTTTCACTCCTTTTCCCAGCTGCAGCCCTCTCTAGGGCTGCTTTTAACCCCTGTTCTGCAGGAGTGGGGCCGCCCCCCCACTACAGGTCCCTTAAAATATGTGCTAACTATTTATACTAAACTATCTGTTCCATCTTGTATTTAGCTTGTGACACTGAGGGCTTGTCTCCACTTACCGGGGGATCGATGCGCGGAGTTTCTCCTGTCGACCCAGCGTGGAGTTACAACACCGCAATAAGTCAGCCTAAGCTGCATTGACTCCAGCTGTGTTATTCACGTAGGTGGAGTTGCGTAACTTAAGTCGACTTAGCCCCATAGTGTAGACCTGCCCTGAGTCCATGCCTGCGCTACAGACTATGCTGCAGCTGTGCCGCCGTGAAGTCTCCTGTGTAGTCACTCTTTGCCAGCAGGAGAGAGCTCTCCTGCCGACATAATTACCACCTCCAATGAGCGGCATTAGCTATGGAGGCATGCAAGCCTCTCCTGCTGGCATAGTACTGTCCACACCAGCGCTTTTGTTGATGAAACTTATGTCGGTCAGGGGGTGCTTTTTCACACCCTGACTGACAAAAGTTGCACTGTAGACAAAGCCTTTGTATACCTTTCCCAGGCCTGAAGAAGAGCTCTGTGTAGCTCAAAGGCTTGTCTCTCTCACCCACAGTGTGCTGGGCGGTGCTCGACCCCTGGTTTGCCCCAGGCCCTGCCCCCACCCCACCCCTTTCCCCAAGGCCCCAACCTGCTCCACCTCTTCCTGCCCCCCACTTCACCCCCACCCTGACTCTTCCTGCCCTGTTCTGCCCCCTCCCCCGAATGCGCCATGCCCTCGCTTCTTCCCCCTTTCCCCTCAGAGCCTCCTGCATGCCATGAAACAGCTGATCACAGTGGGCGGGAGGCACGGGAGAGAGGGGGAAGTGCTGATTGAGGGGGCCTGCTGGCAGGCGGGAGATGCTGTAGGGAAGAGGGGTGCTGATAGGGGGGTTGCCGATGGGTGTTCAGTACCTACCTTTTTTTCCCTGTGGGTGCTCCAGCCCCGGAGCACCCAAAGAGTTGGTGCCTATGCTCTCACCAACAGAAACTGGTCCAATAAAAGATATTACTTCACCTATTTGGCCCCTCTAATATCCTGAGACCGACACGGCTACAACAATACTGCACACAAGTATTCAGGAGTGATACGTGTGTATTAGGTATATAAGTAAAGCATGGCTGTAATGCAAAGCCTACAGGAGAAGGCCTGTAAGATTTCAGCTTAGCCACACTACGCTTCAGGAGGCTTGGCATAAATGGGTGACGTAAGAATAACCCTGGGCCAGGAAAATTACAAGATTACTGTAAAGAATGTGCCAACAGTTGATGTTCTGCAAAAGTAGACCACAATGTGCCCATCTAAACCACAAGACACCTGATTGTCACATCATGGAAAGTTCTGCTCTTATCGCAGGTAGCCCCGGAAACAGGTTGAAGCAAATATTAATAAGATGCTAATGAGAATAAGGGGAAATAAGAAAACCACCTCTGACAAGCAGGGTGCCCCAGCATTTCTGGAGTGTGTAAGGATAGATAAGGAAAAGGAGAGTTGTAGAACCTTCATGCATATGCATAAGGTATTATGACTGGTCATAACAACAGGATAAAAGAGGTTCCGTGGTGCGGACAGGGTGGGAAGACGGTAGCAGGAATCACTGCTCTGTTGATGACCTCCTGCTGAGAGAGCCATCAGACTCAACTCTATCTTTGGGGATGTGAGTATGAATACTGCATTAGCTATTGCAGGGGCTTTCTTAGGTTTTATATCATTGTTTGTGACTGTAACTTTGATCATCTACTTAGTAAAACTTATAATACGACCAGATTCCTTACTTGTGACTGTATTTGTGGTCACAGCCCTCATTCTTTGTGTGTTCCTAGAGACTCCCAATCTAAGAAAATCACTAAGAGTAACTTTCAGCATGTTGATCTTAAGACTGGAGCAACACAAGAGCTGAGCTCACTCCCTAGGGGCACTGTAGTTTAACACAGAACTATCTATTCATTTTAAACAGAGGCTACACTACCCCCCTGAGTCCTCTCTGCTTCTCTCATGTTCCCCCAGAACCTCCATTAGTGCCATAATTTCAATTCCCTTCTGCTTCCTGCTATCAACCCTTTAGCCCTAGGGATGTAGGCTGAGACTTCCAAAGAATCCTAAGAGAGTTGGATCCCTTGGGCTCCTTAGAAAGTCATTTTCTAGACAAGGGCTGTGATTTTCAAAGTGGTTTGAACGTGAAGCGCCTCTGCCAGTCAGGTCTGCCAGGGCAGGCTGGCTGAGAAGCTGCAGGAAGCAGGGAAGATGTAGCTTAAACCAGCAAATGGAGAAAATAGGCACCAGGAACCTAAAGTTGAAGTGGTACTGGGCTCCAACCAGTTTGTGTGGAAAAGCTTATGTACCTGGCACATCAAGATTTGAACCTGAATCACTTCAAACTAGAATGAGATGTAGGAGTTTAGGGTCAGATCCACAGAGGTAATCCATTGATTTCAGTGGAAGTGAGGAGCCTAAACTCCTTTGATAATCTAGGTCTTAAATACATAGTTAATTTAGCTGTGCATGCACCTTGCCCTGTCCCTCAGATGCACACAGTACAGAATTTTTAAATGCTCATAATTTGCTCAGATCAGAACCAGTCTCTTCTAGCTCCCTGATGAGCAGTTTCCATGTGAGAAAGCAGCTTTCAAATCTTAGCTGATTTCTGCAAACTACATTATTTGTTTCTCTCTCCTTACTCTGACAGCACCCCAATGTATTGACTCTGGGCACATTGCAAGGCCTATATATTTCTTCAGGACACCTGGGTTGTTTTTTTTAATAGGTGAGGAATTGACATTTTGTGCTGTTTTTGTACTCTAGTTTACAGTTACAGCTCCAGGGACACTTGGTAGCTGAAGCAAATAGACACACAGGCTTTGTAAGATTTCCAAAAAACAATCACTTTTTACTGTGGACAGCACAAGATCCAGACAAGACAATAAGACCTCTATATGCCATTTCCTGCTTCAGTTTTCAAGATGTGGGACAGCATCCTTTCAGGGTTCCAAGTCCCCTCTCCTGGAGCTCTTTCCTCTGGGCTTCCCGTCTGGAATTTGGAGTCTGCTGTCTCTCTTCGCTTCCTTTGACATGGGCTGCTCCTACATCTCCTGCCAAGAGCCTGTGCCTTCCCCACCCCCTTACTCAGCCTCTTTTTAAAAGCTAGCATTACCACCTGGTTTTTGTTTCCCTGTTTGGGGATTTTCTAGTCTCCAAACCCCTCTGCCATCAAACCACCTTGGTAGAACTTGCTCTCCCAACTCAGGCATATATCATCATTTAGCCAGAGCCCAGTCCTTATATTAACAACTTTTTTTGTTTGTTCTGTAGAGGAGTGGCAGAAGCTCCCTAAAAGGGGAGAGGCACCGATGCCCAAACTGTGGCCTCATACCCTGTGCCACATCAGCCCGAGGCCCCGCCTCTGTACTGTCCCTTTCCCTGAGGCCCTCCCCCTTGCTCATTCCTCTCTACCTCCTCTCCCCCATCGCTCACCCTTATGGACAGTAAAAAGTGGGGGGCCGAGGCCTTGTTCTGGCACCCCTGGTTCTGTAGCTTCTTCCAGACATGGCAGGTGATGTGCATCAGGGAACTTATCAGCCCATGACAGACTCACTATATGTTGAGGCCTGGTCTACATGACAAAGTTTTGCTGGCATAGCTATGTCTGCTGCGGGAGAGGGGGGAGAAACTGACACACACCCCCTAGCTGACTTAGCTATACTTGCAAAAACCCTGGGGTAGGCACAGCTATACTGACATAAGCATGTTGACTTAGACAATGTTATTCCGGGAGGTGGAATAGCTTTGCTGTCAGAACACCTTTTATTGGCTTATGCTCCTGCATTGACATTAGGGGGCTTTGCTGACATAACTATCTTGGAAAAAGGCTCTCTAGTGTAAGCAAGCTCTTAGGAATTTGATGATACAGCAATTTCATCAAATGAACCAGAACTTGTAGCTTGTACATAGTCAAATTCCCAAAATCATCACAATGACTTAAAAGTAACCCCCAGAAACATGTCTGTAAAAAAGGAAATTGGCCCTTTAAAGTAACCTGGTAGCATGTGATGCATCAGTTCCTTACGCAGCTCTGAAAGTACGTACAATGCTGTGAAGACACATACATCTCTTCCGTGCATTTTACCTGTAGGTTTGTATTAACATAATGTTGTAATACTAATACTCAGCACTTATGATATAGCACTATATATTTTCAAAGCACTTGATAAATATTAACTAATGAATCCTGCTAAAAGGAAGGTTTAGTTATCTTAGTTTTAACTGAAAAAGGAAGAAAAAGTTCCTTGGTTTCCTTCTTGTGGTCTGTTATGTTCTATTATAAGGAATAAACACAGGGTTGCTACACCCATACAGTTGCTATGGAGACTACATTATTAATTTATGAGATCAGTTTAATAAAAGTTTAATAGTTTGGAGCATGATCCTGCAAGCTTCACTCATATCCTTACTCATCAACAGTCCCACTGAAGTCCATGGTGCTATGTGTGTAAGGCAAGCAGGAGTGGTCTCATTAAAGTAAAAACTTTGCCACTGCCATATTTTGAGAGGCAGTACGGTATAGTGATTGAAGCGGTGGAAGGGGGCTGGGGAACAGGAAGTCCTGAAACTGAAACTGCTGAATTGGAATTCATTTGCAAATTGGATACTATTAATTTAGGCTTAAATAGAGACTGGGAGTGGCTAAGTCATTATGCAAGGTAGCCTGTTTCCTCTTGTTTTTTCCTACCCCCCCCCCCCCCCCCCCAGATGTTCTGGTTTAACTTGGATTTAAACTTGGAGAGTGGTCAGTTTAGATGAGCTATTACCAGCAGGAGAGTGAGTTTGTGTTTGTATGGGGGTGGGGGGAATGTGAGAAAACCTGGATCTATGCAGGAAATAGCCCGACTTGATTATGTAAAGAGTTGTCACTTTGGATGGGCTAGCACCAGCAGGAGAGTGAATTTGTGTGGGGGGGTGGAGGGTGAGAAAACCTGGATTTGTGCTGGAAATGGCCCACCTGTTGATCACTTTAGATAAGCTATTACCAGCAGGACAGTGGGGTGGGAGGAGGTATTGTTTCATATTCTCTGTGTGTATATAAAGTCTGCTGCAGTTTCCACGGTATACATCTGATGAAGTGAGCTGTAGCTCACGAAAGCTCATGCTCAAATAAATTGGTTAGTCTCTAAGGTGCCACAAGTACTCCTTTTCTTTTTTCTGATTTCTAATGTGGGTTTCATAGATCATAGAGTTTAAGGACAGAAGAGACTATTAGATCGTCTTCTAGTCTCACTTCCTCTGTATCACCGTCTATCAAGTTTTACCCAGTTACCCCTGTATTGAACCCAATAATGTTTTTCCTCTAATTTGCTGTGTAACATTGTAAAGTCACTTACACCAACATTTTGGAATTTTCGGTGCCTGGCTTTAGATCAGTGGTTTTCAAACTATGGGTCGCGACCCAATACTGGGTCACGGAATGTCAGGCACTGGGTCGCGGCAGCTCTGGTCAGCACCGTCGACTGGGCTGTTAAAAGTCCCGTCGGCAGCGCTGCCCGTCTAAGGCTGGCTAATTCCTACCGGTTCTGACACTGCGCTGCACCCCAGAAGCGGCCAGCAGCAGGTTTGGCTCCTAGGTGGGGAGGCCACAGGGCTCCATGTGCTGCCCCCGCCCCAAGCACAGGCTCCGCCCAGCCAATGGGAGCTGGGGGCGGGGGGCGGTACCTGCGGGCGAGAGCCATGCAGAGCCATTTGTGCACTTCTGCCTAGGAACCGGACCTGCTGCTGCTGCTTCCAGGGCGCAGCGCGGTCCGTGGTGCCAAGATAGACAGGAAGCCTGCCTCAGCACCTCTGCTGCGCCATTGACCGGGAGCCGGCTGAGGTAAGCCCGCGCCCGAATCCCCTGACCCAGCCCTGAGCCCCCTCCAAACCTGGAGCCCCTTCCTGCACCCCAAACCTCCCATCCCAAGCCCCACCCCAGACCCTGCACCCCCAGCCCAGAGCCTTGACCCCCTCCTGCACCCCAACCCCCTGCCCCACCCCTGAACCCCCCAAATCTGGAGACCCCTCCTATACCCCAAACCCTTCATCTTCAGCTCCATTGGGTCCCGGGCATCAACAATTTTCTTCAACTGGGTCACCAGAAAAAAAGTTTTAAAACCACTGCTTTAGATTATAGAATTCACTGGGCTGGCTCGGGGGCTGGGTATATGTGATCTCAAGCTACCAACCAATAATTGATTTTCGTCACTCTCCATAAGATGGAGATGACAATACTTCCATACCTTACCAGGGAGCTCTGAGGCTTTGATTCATTAACAGTTGAAAGGACTTTGGATGGAGGGGCTACTGAACTGTATCATTACTACACTGACAGGAACTGAGCTACAGTTAATCATGCCAGTAATTGACTTCTGAGGCTGTTTGTTTGGAGAGGGGAGTGGGTTCAATGTCCTTAATGTGAGAATCAATAATGTTCTATGCCTGTTGCTGTGACTTTGGCCAATAATCAAGCAAGGGCAGAAGTGAGGGCTCCCATGTTTTTCCAAAAAACACAGGCTGTATTAAACATTAACAGAACCAACCTGCTCAGAAGGCTCCTGTTGCAGACAGCTTGCTTTTCCCTTGCCTCTGGTGAAGGCCTTGTGGATTGCAGCATGGGAAGATTGAGCAGGAAGAAGGCTGAGGATCCCAGGAGGAAGTCTCTCTTAGTTCTTGCCGTTGTCCTGCTGCTCAGCTCAGCATGTGCAGGTAAGGAGGGCACTGGCAGAGGCTCATGCGCCAGAGGTGGTGGGCAAGGAATTGGAAGATTTGACAGATGTGGATTCTGGCAGTGAATTCAATTGATGGTCCCTATACTACACAATCCAACATGTACATCAGGTCCCTGCTAGAGCCAAGTGAGTTTTGGTAAGAAAAGTGACTGTAGAAATGGCCCTTTCTTACCCAAACATTTTGGTTCCACCACACGTGTCTGTGAGGCAGGTCCATCAACTTGGCTTTACAAAAGTTATTACAGCAACCCAATGATCAACTAAGTTTACATTGCAACATTTTTATTAGAAGTAGCTAAGTATGAGGTAGAAAGTGCCAGATGGGATGTTCAGTTTGGCAGGTTTAGTAAATTAGAAAACCGACTTCTGTCTTGAAAACGGAGCATGTCTGATCTGGAATAAGAAAGAAGATATGGGACCCTATGGTTGGTTTAAAAAAAATCACTGAAAAACTGTTCTCTTATGCTAAAATCCCATGGAACCTGCACTTCCTACATTGTAACTCCCTGCTCCTTCCCTCATTTGCTGCCAATTGGCGTTCATGGAAGGCACAGGACTGTCCTTTCTAATCAGCCTTGCTCAATCATACCATTGATCACTTGCAGTCAGAAATGCAATCCCTGGGTTCAGTTCTCCCTTCCCCATCCACACAGGCATGGGTAAGTCCCAAATAGACTTCAGTGGGAGATTCTCATATCCTGCAGTGGGAGACTTGGGCCCTCGGTCTCTTGACTCTCAGTTTCTTGCATCATTCAACAATGGTCCCTCCAGGATATTTTTTAGTGTCCTCAGTTGGGATAATGAGTGATTTGTAAGGGGATTTCTTGTTTCTGTTTTAAACATGGCTTCAAGGTTGTTTAGAGAAGGAAAGAAAGTTTAGGGTGTAGTGGCGAGAGACTGAGCATGGGGAAGAGTCAAGCTTTTCAGTGGGGTTGCTGTGATGTTCCCCTGGTGTTATCTGAACCGGTGATCCGCTAGGTCACTCCAATCCTCGACTCTGGGAGCTAGCCTTACCCTGCTCTGCTGTGAGAACCCCCACTCCCGGGCTGTACACGCACAGCCTCTAGCATGTAAGCTGCTCCCAGCTACATGAGTGAGCACTTTTGGCCAGCCGAATGTACAACCAAATGACACTAGCCAATATCTCCAGTCCTAGACCCAACCCTAGGAACCTTGTCTTGCAGTGTCCAGTTATGCCCACTGGACGCTGCAAGCTTATATGAGTTTGTCAATTTAACAAAGAAATTGATATATACCAGGCTTGTTATCTCAAGTGGAGTCTCTGACATGCTTCAAACCAAACACACTGCTTCAGGTAGAATAAACCAACAAATTTATTAACTACAAAAGATAGATTTTAAGTGATTATTGTCAAAGTCAGATTCAGGACTCACATAATTTGTCAGACCACTCTGTTTATTAGCAAAGCACCTTGCTAATGCACCCAGATGTGAGCCCCTCTCTGAGGCCCAAGATAACCTATTTATACAGCTAAGCCAAAGCCAATTTAACATAAGAGACAAAAGAAAGCAGAAACTGACAAATATACATACATATCTTATTTGCATACTAACATTTACCAATCTCCTAGCTCAGTAGGAGCTCTAAGTTAATTAGTTTGAGGACCCATTGTCTCACACTCCTTAATGTTTCCCTTCCTGACAACTATATTTCAACAAACCCTTCAAGTAGCATTTCTTTAATGAATTATAATTTCAATATAATTCATTCTACTTTCACAATCCCTCCTTTTGGTCAAGTTACGCAATGACCAACAATTACTGGGTTCCACATATCAAGCGTTCTTTATCTCTTTGTTCATCAGTGATATTTAAAATCATCAAATTAGCACTCTGGTTTGGGGCAGCTATCTGTGTAGCATGCCTGACACAATTTTGGATACAACAGGAAAGTAACTGAAAACATACAAAAATTATTAGGATTCCAAACAGGAGAGTTAGGGCTCCCTGAAACAACCAGTTTCCTATGCCAGAGAAATTGAAAAGGTTACTTAGCCACTTCCATAAAGACCTTAGCTCTTCGTGGGGAAGATATGCGATTTGTTCTAAGTGGCTAGCACGATCTGTTACCTCATTGGTGTTGTCTGGTATATACACACAGCAGTCTTTTCCAGTGAGAGCACAAGTCCCTCCTTTTGCCACCAGCACTATGTCTAATGCCTGATGGTTTTGGAGGGCCATCTGTTGGATTGCTCCTGTTTCTTTGGATAGGGGTCTTAAACTTTCTCCAGTTTCATTTGCCATTATTTCAACTACTGCTTGTAACCTTAGGAGCCTTTTTGTATGGTGTATTACTCCCCCTAATGGTATTAAGGAACTGCCAATGGCCTCTTCCCAGGTTAAGGGGCTTATGTTATTTACGTGCCATTGGGCATCTGTTAAGTCCCTTCTTTTTCGCCTGAAATTGCGGAGATGTTCTCAAGGGAAGGCTCATGATCCCAGGTTGAGAAAAAAATTCATATCTCCATACCCGGCCCACCACTTTTTAGTTTTGTTTGAATAATCCCATACACCATTGGCCACAATATGCTGAAGGCAATGGCTTTTCCCCAGATCCAGCCCTGTCCCATTACACACCCAACACCAATGACCTTCTCCCTCCACCACACTTATCCATTTAGATGCATTTGTTCCCACCGCTTCCCAAGTGTCATTGCTGTTCCATATTTTGTTAAACGGACAAGGCCCTCCAGTGAGGTCTGGGGACTTGAGTGGGATAGCCAGGACTGGAACACCAGTTTGAGAGTGGGCTGAGATGTGGCTGCGCAGACCCAGCAATTAGAAATATTAAGGGTCTGAGCTATCCACACCTGCTGCTGGATAAAAGAATTGTCATCATGGTCTCCCCAGACCGTAAGATACCAGCAGCCGAGGAACAGGCAGAGGCGCGTGTTGGAGGCAAGGCTCTTCTGGTTCTGACAACCTCAAATGAGGGAACCGTAGTCACGGTTTTACGCCCACCAGGCAGTAGGCGCTAGGCTCGCTACTGCTTTTTTTTGTTTGTTTGTCGTCTGCTTCTGGTAACCCTTACAAGAGCGTAGATTGTAAGGTATTGCAGACTGTTCCTCTACGTCTTCTTCTGGAGTCAAAATTGACTCTGCGTTGTCCTGAGGTGATGATTGGTTCTCTGGGGATGGTGCCTTCTCACACTGTGAAGCATGTATCCACACTGCGATGCCAGATAGTTTAACAGCTGTCTGTGTAGTAAGCAGTACCTGATGAGGACCCTTCCAGCGGGGCTCCAAGGTGTGCTTTCGATGATGGCGCCGTACGTAGACCCAGTCACCTGGCTCGAGGTTGTGGAAAGCGTCAGAGGTGGGTTCCGTGGGCCAGGCGGCTCGAACCTGCGAATGGAAGTGACTTACAGCTTGCATTAGTCTCTTGCAATACTGAAGGAGCGCGCTGTGAGTCAAGTTCACGCTTGAACGGGAGTAATGGTAGTCATAGCTCGCATAGGGCATCCCATAACAATTTCAAAGGGACTTCATTTATGCCTTTGGGATGGAGTGGAACTCATGTCCATAAGGGCTAATGGTAAGGCTACTGGCCAGCTTAATCCTGTAGAGTTACAAATTTTAGCAAGCTTATTCTTAAGTACACCATTTTGTCTTTCAACTGCACCTGCACTCTGTGGGTGGTAGGGACAGTGCAACAGGTGTTTGATATGCAATAATATGGTCCAGGTGTTGAACAAGTTGTCCAGTAAAATGTGTACCCCGATCACTGGACAGAGTAGCAGGAATTCCCTTGGCAGGCATAATATGATTTAACAAACATTTGGCAACAGACAGTGAGTCAGCCTTGCGACAAGGAAGGGCTTTAATCCAACCAGAGAATAAACATACCATAACCAATATAAATTCATATTGTTGACACTTAGGCATTTGTACAAAATCAAGTTGCCAATGCAAGAACGGTGCTTGAGGCAGGCCCCGGAACCCCTGGGCCACTTTTACAGGTTTACCAATATTATGCAATCCTTAGGTTCAGTTCTGGCAAATGGTACAGGCTGCACAGTGGCAGGCTGCAAAAGAGTTAAAATGGGGGGCCCACCATCCTGTCTTAGTTACAGCAGAGACCAAAGAGAGAAAGAGACCAAAGAGAGACTTTCAACAGAGAGAAAGTGCACGGGAACCCTGGGAGAGGAGAAAGCCGAGCTATGTGACAGAAGCTTGACAGAGTTGTAGGTTAGAGCGAGAAGCTTTGTGACCCTTATTTGCTAGGGCAGTAAGGAGCACTAAAGAGTCAGTTTCAGAGGCAGACAATGAAGGGGAACAGAGGCGTAGATCATCTACATATTGGACTAGTGTGGACCTGGACAGGAAAACAAGGTCAGCAAGGTCTCGGGCTAATGCTTGGGAAAAATATGATGGGCTTTCAGTATACCCCTGGGGCAGTGTGGTCCATGTGTACTGTTGCCCCTTGTAAGAAAAGGCAAACAGGAACTGGGAGTCAGGGTGAACCTGGAGAGTAAAGAAAGCGGAGCACAAATCAACAACAGTAAAATGATTTGCATCTGGTGGGATAGAAGCCAGAGTCTTTGAGAGAGGCAAGTTTTGATTCTGTCCACATATGATTTGCCTCTTCCCACCACTGCATGAAACAATCAACCTCTCCTTTTGCCAATTTAGTTGTAGGTTGGCCGAGTTTGTCTTTTAGGACGTCTACTCGGTCTTTGTCCCAAGATCCTAACAGTGGCCACTGAATTTTGGGATTCTCCTGAGTTAGCCTTTTGCATTCCCATACACATCTTCCCCCCCTTCCCCCAAGGTCAGCCTTTTGAAGCCATCCCCCACCCATGTCATGAGGTTTTCTGTTCATTAAAACACAACAATGCTAGCAACAAGACAAACACCACAGACAAACAACATAAAACATAGATCCATGGTATTCTGAGTTATTCTTCCGCTGGCACCAGCTTGCTTGTAGAGTCTAAAAACAAAAGAAACAATTTCCA